GAGCGAGACATGACGACTGGTCTCTGACTGGCAGCAGCTTGTTACGTCGCTAAATTATGCTTTACGGCTCACGCTTTCTCGGTGTTCTGTTCTTAAAAGAACAGTGAACAGCACGAGACGTTGGTCGGCCTTTTGACACGTTTTTACTTTTCTCGTTGTTTTGTCCTAAGAAGGACAGGAAACCAAACAAGACGTTGATCGGACCAGTTTGACACGTTTCACTTTTCTCGCTGTTTTGTCCTAAGAAGGACAGGAAACAAAACAAGACGTTGATCGGCCAAGGTTTCAACTTATGCACGCTCTCCAGCTGAAGTATGGAAGGAGATATTTGGCTTTGGTTTCAACAAAGGACAGCAAAGATTGGGATTGAGTTTAATGTCTGTTAGGCGTGAGAAGAACGCCCTACCGACATTACCTTTAGGCCCTGATCATCAGAAAAACTTCACTTGACCGGCACTAAAAGTAAATACAATACGAGTGCCAAGGACCCTTGACCTCAGGATTAGCAAGAAATGAGGATAGACCTTGAGAGCGTGCAATAAAAATTTGACTAACTCCGGGCGGAGAAAGTCGAGACGACTAGCGAAACGTGTACAAACTCTAGACAATGAATGAGCGGACTGATAAGTCTCCGTAGACTTATCGCAACGTGAGCCGTATACAAACAATAATTTCTCACCAAGCTGTCTTTTCGATGTTCCCCAGACTCCTGTGTCGCTTCCCAAGGCTTAGGAAGGCTCTCTTGCTTCGTAGAAGGCTTGTGGTAGAGGCAGTCAGCTCGGCTGGGCTGCGCTGGGTAGAGCAGGCTTGGCTGTGTAGGTTTCAATAGCCTTGATCTTGCTTGCATGTAGATCTTGATCCCATCCTCGTCGCCAATGTTAAGGTCTTGTAACTTGTAACAGGAATCTTGTAACAGCAAGCAAACTTGAACATCAATCAAGAACACAGGAGTCTCGTCTTGGGTCGAACATAACGAATCAGTTTATTTATGACCAATATGTCAAAGGAACAATATCTACACAACATGTTAGATTATTTACATGATACAGAATACATGCCTTCATTAATAATTGACACTCACACGTCTCAGTCATTCCCACATAGAATAATACAACACCAGCCTAATGGTAAACGGTGGCAAAGAATATGAAATACAAACATGCCATATTATGATATGAAAATGACAGAATAAACAACATGGAAGTGTTTCTTCAAAGAGGAAACAACTTAACAGCCAATGTCCTGCAAAGGGAATGAACTACGAGCGGATCTAATTATTTCCCTTACATAACAGGTACATTAAATCTTACTGGTATCTTGTTCATATTCCATACTGTCATGCTTAGGACTGGCTGACAGACTGACACACGCACAGACAGACCGTGCGTGTGTGTGTGTGTGTGTGTGTGTGTGTGTGTGTGTGTGTGTGTGTGTGTGTGTGTGTGTGTGTGTGTGTGTGTGTGTGTGTGTGTGTGTGTGTGTGTGTGTGTGTGTGTGTGTGTGTGTGTGTGTGTGTGTGTGTGTGTGTTAAAGGGGAGGGGGGGGGGATTTTGCACCATACCGGTATCTAACTTTTTCAGGCCACTCAGTGAAGTGTGCCTCGGGGCCAGCTGGGTCTTAATCCGGCACTGCTTTGGGGGTGTAGCCCCCCCCCCCCTTCCCCTCCTCCCCCCCTAAGGCAATCTCTACGTATAAGTGGGGGAAAAAAACTCTATTCAGTACATTTAATGTACAAACACGTCTGAGAAAGAATGTCATCTGGCAACTGTCATCATGATGGCCGTATCTGTTTGTTTGTGCCCTTTCTTTCCCTTAAGGGCTTCCGTCTACCCCGCTCTCTCCGTCGGTGCAGTGGCGGTGGGTGGACTAAGATTTGGGTGGGGCTTAGGTTTCTTCCACCTCTTTATCACCAAAAAGCTAGCAATAAGAACAAAACAGTGATGATTTTTCTATACTCACGCACGGCGAGCAACGGCATTTTGAGAACAATTCAAACGAGAAGAGTCACCTGTGTCTTCCATATAATTGTTCTTAGTCAAATTTAAGTTCTTCTGGATTGTGGGGACGAAGCCGTTTCACCTCCAAATTTCTCTAATTAGTTTTTATCTGAAGAAAAGGTTGCCCCAAAAGTGGCTGGATGTAATTAATAACTGTTAAATCTCAGTGGCACAAACACACAGCACTCCAAACACATACCGTCTATGAGGTGGATAGGGTCGTGTTGTTGCGGAAAATAGAACGTGCCTAACAAAGACCCAAATGGGCGCATAGGTATCTGTGTCACTGGGGGAAAGTGTGTCGTAAATTTTCACCCCATTGTCAGGGCTGGGAGATCGTGAGCCCTCTGTGCAGTGTTATTTTTTAAAAGTCTTCTACCTTTTTACAAGAAGAGTTTCATTAAAGATGGGCGTGAGAACCGGCTTATTCTTTCTGAGCCCTAACGACGTTTGATTGGCTGTCAGGCTACTATACATGTAGTTGTAAGCAGTGACAACAATTATTGGATAAACGGGCAAGCCGCCAGACTGAACTGTGTGTTCGTTGCGCGCGATCATAACGTGAGGGGCTCCAGCCCGTAAGCCCTTCACTACCCACCGCCACTGCGTCGGTGCAGAATTTGTGAGGCATCAAGGTGAAATCAGGCGCTTGTCAACGTAATGATATCGAAGAGACCGACATTTTCCCGCCATTTGAGCAATTGTTATCGAATGCTCTGGCTGGGCTCAACACCTTTTATTTCTATTTTAAATTACAATCCCATGTGGACTTTACTGACAAACGATGACCAAAGGCATATGGCAAGTCAATCAGTTGCAGCGTCCAAGAACACTACCGCCTTGGAAGTCTCAAAACTTTGGCGGTCATTTTGTCGCAAATTGTGCATATGCGCATGTGTGTGTGTGTGTG